TTCTATGCAAAGCGTACGGAAGCGCTCATATGACCTTAGCAGTTGCGAGCGCCGTAAAACCTTATACTACTACTAAAGCGTACGGATCGGATTAACGAGCCGATTTCCTCTTTGGAAAGTAGTGGCACAGAGTTCCCCATGTCGTACGGATGCGATATTAAAACACGACGTACGGGTAGGTTTCAAACGAAATAAAGTCCTTGAAATGAGCAAAGCAGTATAAAAAGTGAATAATAGTATGACTCGCGAGGTGAACAGAAATGTTAAAAAATAGGTCCAATTTGTCAAAACAGTGTCAAATCATTGTATTGGTCCAATCCAATAATAATGATTTTGATGATGATGATGATTTTGATGATGATGATGATGACGATGATGATGATGATGATGACGATGATGATGATGATGATGATGATGATGATGATGATGATGATGATGATGATGATAATAGTAATGATAAGCATACTAATATAATAGTAATAATAAAAACAATAAAATAAAAATGATCACAATATAATGCTAATACCAATAAATCCAATAACAATGATATAACAATAAAAATAATAGTAATAATAATATAATAATAATAATAATATTAATAATAAAAAAATAACAACAAAAATACTACTACTACTACTACTACTACTACTACTACTACTACTACTACTACTACTACTACTACTACTACCATTACTACTACTACTACTACTACTACTAATAATAATAATGAAAATAATAATAATCTTGGAGTCAAAAGAAAAGAAGTTCAACAAAACTAGACGAAGTAACATAGATCAACGAAGGGTAAAGAAAAAAAAAACCCCAACAAAACAAAACCCCCCCCCCAAAAAACAACAACAACAACAACAGCAAAAAATAAAAATAAAACGTTCTTAAAGAAAGCCAGTATACCTGGTGAAGCAGCGAAAAATCAGGAGAGTGATTTCTTTCTCCAGCTGAAGTACAGAACACGGAAACTGACTTTTAATAAGTGAGAGGACGAAGTAGGATACACGCTGTGCCTTACCCACTGCAGAACACATTTTTTACAACAACACTCATAAAATAATAATCTTAACTCATTCGCTACGTATTATTTTCGGGAGGGCGAAATGAGATGATGACTAGTGCGCAGTCCACAGGTCTTTGGGACCATACATTCACATAAATATCAACATACCAACATTTTCAGTATGGTTTGTAGAATACATCTGTATTATTTATTTGTATATTTTTCAACTTTGGTTCCTGTAAGAGGCGATTATGCAACACAATTGTGATTGGATGCGTATAAAATTGGAAAATAAAAAAAATTATAATCTCAGGTGAAACTCAAAAAAATATGTTTGCACCTAGTCAAATGATACTTCAAAATAACCATAACTGTATATAGAACAGGAAAATATTGAAAAATGTGCAGTTATTTACATAAATTCCATAATATTTGTACATCCGATATTGAGAAAAAAAAAAAAAAAAAAAAAAAAAAAGGATCACAAACCGAAAAAAATACGCGTATTTTGTATGGAATTATTCAGAATTGTGTTTGGAATAAACCTTAACATGTCTTGAGAGCTACTTTTTGAGTAATTTCACCCAAAAGTAGTGATTTTGGGGAGAAAAAAATATTTTGACTATTTAGATATAGGCGTAGATCTAGCACTCAAAAATATTGATTTCTCAATTACAGTGCACCGGCAATCTGCGTCCTATAGTATCAATATTATAAAAAGATTCCTATATTTCTATAGTGGGCAAAATAATGATATATTTAGTTCTGTAAAAGTACTAAGGCTGCTGTCTGGGCTATAATTTTGGCTTCGCGATAAACAAAGTCGAATAAACTGCGAAATCGTGTTTCAAAACTGAATCAAAACTTTCGATTTTCGGTGGAAACGCTTGACCAACATTATATTATGACCTTTATTTTAACATGGATATGTGGATTGGAATAGAAACCAAGCTAAAATTGACGTCGACTCAGGCGCGGGGCGACTTAGCGTACTGACGGCACTTTAGCCGCCCCCCCCCCCCCCCCCCCCCACGGCTCGGCGTAGCGAATGAGTTAAAGGCTTGTGCGCTGAAAAAACATTTGGGACCGTTTCAGCGATCGATCGTCTAGAGAAAAATACGGTGTTCCCACTACGACGGAAGGGACTGTCTGATCAACACGATCGCCCGACTCGTTCACCTCAAAAATAATAAATTATGTATTTGTTTTCAGTTTCGGGCGACCGAGTCAGGCGATCGGCGCTATCCAGCCGTAGCGTAGTGTGCCCCACGTAAAAGGTGCAGCAATATTTATTCAAACGAGACTGCCTGTTCCAAAGAATGAAGGTCATTAGTCATGCAAGTTGGTCTGGCTTACTGAAATGGGCAGACAACACCAGTTCACTATGTTTACAGAACGTGTGCTTTGAAAACCCTTTTGGCAATTGTGTCTGACAGTTTGACATTGGATGAACGAGTTGCCTTCATTTGCCTTCAATTGCCTTCATCTATTATCTATTTGTGATAGCCGAATTTTGCTATTCAAAAGGCATTTTAATGGATGCATCGATCGACATGCAGTTTTCGCCAAAGAGATTCTTTAAAATATTCTCCTGATCATGACGCCCTTCGTTTTTTCAGTTTTGAGATAGTTTTGCTGGTAAAAGCTAAATTTCTTTATTTCGCCGCTCGCTTTTGTAGGCCGACGCTTCTGTCTCTGTAATTTTAGAAAATCCGGTGCGGAAGTGATATTTTGCGAGGCGCATTTTGTTTTGAGAGTATAGATCTAGATCTAGATCTTCTAATTTTTTGTATCTCTCAAGATTTATTGCTCCATTCCAGTAGAGTGTAAATATAGTAGGCCAATGACATTCAGTTGATGTTAATGCATCGATCATTCCTTTCATCGAAAGGGGCCCAGCTGGTTAAATACAGTGGAATCCTGTTATAACGAGACGTAGGGGACCGGTGCGAAATGTCCGTTATACCAGGATTCTCGTAATTAATAAAATCCCACTCACGTACACACAGACACAGAGAGACATAACTATATTCACATGCACCGACACAGGCACACACAGACACATACACAAACATACACACACAAACATACTCACACAGACAAACACTGACAGACACACAAACACGGACACAACCATACACACACACAGACACACACAACACACACAGGCAGACAGAGACACAAACAGACACATGCACAGACACAGACACAGACACAGTCACAGACATACACATACAAACACACATACACACACACAGACGCATACACAGATACTGACACAGATGCATACACAGACACACAGACTCACACAAACAGACAGACAGACACACACACACACACATACACACACATATACACAGACACACACATGCACACAAACACACACAGAACAACAGACACAAACACTCACACACACACAGAACAACAGACACAAACACTCACACACACACAGACATAGAGACACACACACACACACAGGCACAGACACACAGACACAAACACACACACACACACGTATATGAAATATATTTATGTGTATGTGTTATTTGTGTATGTGTGTGTGTATGTATGTATGTATGTATGTATGTATGTATGTATGTATGTATGTATGTGTGTGTGTGTGTATGTGTGTGCTTATATATATTATATTTTTTTATTGTCCTCCCCCAATATATTATATGTTTATACATAATATATTACACAATATATTTTTTGAGACACCCAGTATTATCAATATATTTACCCCCCTTTCCTTCCCCCTCCCATGGTAACGTCATGATACCAGGACCTGGTGGCAACGACACTGGATCTCAAGTGACCGGTCCCCCAGCCGTCCCAGATGTCTGTATGGACTTCGATGACCAGTGTCCAGAGCTTCTGGCTTTCTGCCAGGACGACACAGTTCTTGTGAACAGGCTGTGCAAGAAGTCTTGCAACACCTGCGGAATTGACACCACGGGTTGGTGATTTCTTTATTGTGTGCTCGTTTGTGGGTCTGTTTGCTTGTTTGTTGGTTTGTTTGTTTGTTCGTTCGCCTGGTGAACAGGATGCTTGCGATCTCTCTCTCTCTCTCTCTCTCTCTCTCTCTGTCTATCTCTCTCTCTGTCTATCTCTCTCTCTCTCTCTCTCTCTCTCTCTCTCTCTCTCTCGCTCTATTTGTCTATCTAAAAAATACTATATTATCTATCCATCCATACCCCTTCACCACATCCTTTCTCTTTAAACATACATGAAGAAATCTTTTAACACCTGAGGAATTAACACCACAGGTATGTGATTTCTTTCTTGTTCGTTTGTTTGTTGATTTGTTTCCTTTATTGTGTGTTTGTATGTTGGCTTGTTCGTTTGTTTGTTGATTTGTTTGATTTTGTGTTTGTTTGCTTTTTTGTTTGTTCGTTTGTTTGTTTGTTTGCCTGGTGAACAGGCTGTGCAAGAAGTCTTGTAACACCTGCGAAATTGAAACCACAGGTAGGTGATTTTCTTTATTGTGTGTTCGTTTGTTTGTTTGT